TTTCAAGATAGGGTTTCTCTGTGTAGCAGAGAGAGAGAGAGAGAGAGAGAGAGAGAGAGAGAGAGAGAGAGAGAGAGAGATGGTTTTTCAAGATAGGGTTTCTCTGTGTAGCCCTAGCTGTCCTGGAACTCACTCTGTAGCTGACCTCTAACTCGGAGATCCACCTGTCTCTGCCTCCCAAGTGTTGGCATTAAAGGCATGTACCACCGCCTATATTTTTTATCATTTCCCCCTCCCCCAACTTGTCCCACATCTTTCCTCCTTTCTACCCACCCATCTTTGTTTTTTTCCTCTTTCAAAAAACAAAAACCATAGAAATGAAAATCAAAACAACCAAAAGACCAATAAGACAAAAAAAAAAAAAAAAAATGTGCCACACTGGGCCTTTAATCCCAGCACTTAGTAAGCACAGTGGTAAGTGAATCTCAAAGTTCAAGGCTAGCCTGGTCTACAGAGCTAGTTCCAGGATACACAGAGAATCCCTGTCTTGAAAAAAAAAAAAAAAAAGGTTACAGCAATATCATTGAGTTCATTTTGTGTTGGGTAACTACTTCTAGGCATAGTCTGCCCTAGACTGTGATTGATACACAAAGTGATACTCCATTAGAGAAAACTGATGTTTCTCTTTGTTTGCGGGTCTTCAGTTGCAAATACCTTATTAGTTAGGGATGGGATGCCCTGTCCATTTTCTCCTTTCAGTGCTAGGACCCCATCTGGCTTTAACCTGTGCAAATCTTGTGTGTTACCACAATCTCTGTGAGTGTATATGTGCATCAGTCCTATTGTATCTGGAAGACACTGTTTTCTTGGAGTCAACTGTCACCTCTGGCTTTTACAGTCTTTTCTGCTTCTTCTTCCTACATTGATTCCTGAGCCTTGAGGGGAGGGCTTTTATGAAGACATCCCATTTAGGACTGAGTTTTCTAAAATCTCTCAATCTTTGCACATTTTCCTGTTGTGGGACTTGGTGTTAATTCTCATTTTATGCAAGAAGAAATTTTTCTGATATGGCTTAAGTAAGCTGCTGATCTCTGGGTGTAGTACTATGTCATTAGATTACTATATTCCTTTAGCCAAATAATAGTAGGTTTTCCCCTAGGCCCATAGCCTGTCTAGTCTTAGTTTCTTAGCTACTTTAGCAGTGTCAGATATGGGTTCCATCTCATAGAGTGTGCCTTAAATCCATTCTGAAAGGTCATTGCTGTACCATTTGTGACACTATTGCACCAGGGTGTCTTGCAGGCAGGTTGCTATTGTAGGTAGCTGGGTGATACTAATAACCTTTCTCTTCCAGTGCATGCAGAGTACCTTCCAGCACCATGAATGCTAATCAGTAAGGGTAACGCTTCTAGTTAGGCACCAGCTCAACTTCTCTGTGTTCGATGTCATAAGTGTTCTTTTTCAGCAGTAGGACCTTACCACCAGGTTATGGAGAACAGCCAGTAAGCCTTGGCAGTACCCTGTGATGTTTAGGGTAGTGTCTCTATGGGACCCTTTGGCCAGCATCAATATTCTTGGCACTGGTGGTTTTACTTGGTACTAGAAGATGCCTAGTTGGGATATTGTTTCCCATAATATTTGGTGACTATTTAGATTGTTTTTGTTTTGAAACCTCAATTTCACATACGTACAGACACCTGAATTTTGACAAAGAAGCCAAAACTACACACTGGAGAAACTGAATGGCTCCGTGTAGAAGATTCCAAATAGATGTGTATCACCCTGTACAAAACTCCAGATGGATCAAGGATCTCAACAGAAGATCAGATATCTTGAATCCGATAGAATAGAAAGTAGGGAAATGGCTTGGATTCATTGGCACAGGAAAAGACTTCTAAACAGGGCAACAGTAGCACAGGCACTAAGAACAACGAACAGTAAATGGGAATCTCATGAGTCTGGAAAGCTTCTATACAGCAAGGACACAATAGTCATCTTAATACATATGTCAGTGGTTCTTCCCATTCTCTGATCGCATGGCTTGGGCACATTCTGTCTGTGATCTTGTCATTTCTCACACTTTCAACCTTAACAATACCTATAACTGTATTCCTCTCATTATCACAATTTCTTATGCCCCTTATCTGACTCCTACCTTGCATCTTTCTATCCTTTTCTACCCCAGCTTTAGCAATTTGACACTACCAAGATCTTTTATGTATTGGTACCAATTTTGCCAGACCCTCATCCTCTTCATAAACCCCTCTGTTCTTAAACTTTATAGTCAAACAATATGATCATTCCCTTGGGTTTATTTTATCCTTTATTTATTTATTTATTTATTTATTTATTTATTTATTTATTTATTTATTTACTTTATTACTACTTAAGTCATAATTCTGGATAAAATCCAGTTTTGTCCTCTCTATACCAGTAAATAAAGCCAGAGATGAAAAAACAGTTATATTAAGTCATTTCACTTTGAAGTTTTAATCATGGTGCACTTTCTGTTTTAGCCACAATAGAGAATCTAATATCTGCTATCTCACTACAGATAAATACAGAATTAGACAGAAACATAATACAGTATATTTCACGGCCACCAAGGAAGAATGCAATCTTTTTTTTTTTAAATGAGACCTACATTTATATCACATTTATAGTGGGCATATTCATAAAGTCCAAGTGAAGACATCAGTTTTTGCTTTTTTGGGGGAGGGTTGTTTGTTTATTTGTTTGTTTTTCTGAACAAAGGAGAAAGAAGTACAAATGCTCCTAAAGAGGATGGAGCTCCAGTAAAAGAACTGAAATTCTGGGGTTGGGGATTTAGCTCAGTGGTAGAGTGCTTGCCTAGCAAGCACAAGGCTCTGGGTTTGGTCCTCAGCTCCAGGAAAAAAAAGAACTGAAATTCTGCATTAAACAGTCCCTATAGGCTCTTTACAGTAGGTCCTCCTAACGGAAAGACTGTGGTTGGGAGTCCTAACAGAAAACAGGCACTCAGAGTCTGAAAGCTGAGCTAAACTGAGCTGAGCTAAAAGCACAGAGTGATAGAGAGTTCTTGCCTAGCCAAAATAAACAGATATTAGGGAACATTTTATGCTTTTTGTTGGGACCCTACAAGGCAATGTGTCACCACAGGCAGTGGGACCTGGGGGAATGGAACCTATAAATGAGGTGGTAAACTAAAGTTTCATGCCAACTTTATCAGCACCATAGACAATTTATACTCTTGAGGGTTAAGAAAGGTCACATGAGTAAAGTTCTCATGAGTTCAAGCTATATAAAATGTCCATTGAGGCATATAAAGTATAGTTTAAACATTTAATTCAATAACAACAGCAAGCGATAATGAGTTATCTGAAATAAATTCACTCCTGTGCTACACCTGGGAGGAGCACACCCAGGAGGGCACAAAAACATATTCCAAGGGTAATTCTGTGTTTTTGAAGAAACTGAGGGTTACAAGACTCTTGTCTTGTTTTCTTGGAGTGTTCTCACAAGCACTCAGAATTCTCCTCACATAATTCCATTCCTGGACAGTGTTCTGACATCAATGCTCTAGTAGAAAAGGCAAAATTAAAGAACACCTAAAGCAAAGTATTGCCAAGGAAGAACCAGGTGACCTGACAATAAATTTACTGGTAAAATCAAACCTAATGTCTTGAAGAAAAAGAAATAATTCATAGTGTGTGATTCAGAATGTCAACCTAAAATAGATCTATTGATGCAAAATTTTGTATTCTGTGAAAGAAAACTAAAGCCCCAATCATTTAGTTATCAATGTTCCTAATGCTGTGACCCTTTATTTAATACAGTTTCTCATGTTGTGGTGACCCCCAACCATAAAATTATTTTGTTGATACTTCATAACTGTAATTTTGCTACTGTTATGAATTGTAATATAAATATCTGATATGTAGGAGATTTGATATGTGACCCCTATGAAAGGATCATTCAACCCCTCAAAGGGGTTGCGACCCATAGGTTGAGACCTGATTAGGGGAGAACCATGTCTTAGTTATTGTTCTATTACTGTGGAGATACAGCATGACCAAGGAAACTCTTACAAAAGAAGGCACTTAAGCAGGGCTTGCTTACAGTTTAGAGGATTTGTCCATGGTCATCATGACTGGAAGCAGACAGGTCTGGCATAGGAACAGTAGCTGAGGGCTTTATATCTTATCCTCAGGCATCAGGCAAAG